CTGACGGTTTTTTTTTTCCCTCTCAGGATCATTTCCTACTAGGTACAATCACTGGGATCAAATGCTGGTAGAATCAAGTTTCCCATAAAATTCTATTTAATCACAGAATAGCATATTTGTGTAGTGCTTTATGGTTTTCAAAGCACTGCCATAAATACTTTATTGCTTTTTGAAACCTGTATATAAGGAAGGCAAGCAGTTGTGATCATTCCCATTTTTTAATTAATAATGGTTAAATGACGGATCCAAAGTCACAGAACTTATAAGACATGGACATAGATCCAGTGCTCAGTCCACACCATTCACTCATTCTCTCCTTCATGCATTTATTCAACCAACGGGGACTATGGACTCAGAGATGAACAAGACCCAGCCTCTGGCCTCAAGGAGCCCACAGTTTAGTGAGCAAGTAGAAAGAAAACCCCAAGTCATTTACAACACAAGCATGAAAAACGTAGCTGGAAGAATGCATGCAAATCCTCCAGATGAGGTCAATTATTAAATCTAGGTTTCAACAGAGAAAGAAATAGCCAGGCAGAGAAGGGAGTGAGGGGTAGAGGGAGAAAGACAAGCAGAGGTCATCCAATTCTGTTCAAACAGAAAAGTGAGTGAGTCCTGGCAGAAACTTACAGGATGAAGTCAGCAGTGGCCAGTCTTGGCCTTGAAGTCCTTACTCTGTGGGCCAAGCTAAGGACAGCCAAGCTGTTCAGATCCAGATATATTCTAATCTCCAAAAAGCTTTCTGGGCTGATCTCACCTGGTATGCAGTGAAGCACACTGGTGGCACATTTCATTTCTTTTAATTCTGTGATGTCTTGAAGGAAGAATGACTCAGGCCCTGGGTTTGAATGAGTAGAACTGTTTTCTGTAGCCTCTGTATATATACACACATTTCATACACCCACATAGATAGTTTATATCCATAATATTATATATAGGTATCCACATAGATTATACAAAACATACATAGAACTCTATAAACCTTGCATGCAGAGAAATCTGAATAATGTATATGTCTAGACTGACCCCTTGGGACATGTTCAGATAGATAAGGCTTGTGGAGAGAGATTACCATGCCAGACAGCCATCTGTCCTAGATCATTCCGATAGTCATTTGCCTGCAGAGGAGGAACTGAAGGGGGTTGGACAAGATGAACTCCAAAAAGTTACCTTAAAGCTCCATGGTTTTATGTACAAAGCAGTTTCTCTATTTTCAATAAATAAAATTCTACAAACCTGGTGAAGTAATTCCTGTGCCATTTATTTGTGCTCAGGCAGAAAATGTACTATTGATTTCTGATAATGTGCTCTTTTCTCTGAGTCACATTATTTGTGACTCAGAGAAAAGAGCACTGAATGAGGAGTCAGGAAACCTAGATTCTCGCCCCAAATCACCCTTCTCCCCTCCCCAACCCACTCCATCTCCAACGGGGGAGGGGGCTGTGTGACCTTGAGCAATAGACCTCACCTCTCTGGGCTTCAGCTTCCCATATACTAAATGAAAGGATTTGGCTAAGTGTTCCATAATTCTCTTCCAGCTCTAAAACTATGAAATCATTCCACTCCCTCAAGACTAGTTTATCTCTGGAGCTCTAAAAATAAGGATTAATAAAACTGGATTCAGATCACCACTTTTCTAAACATCACCTCTTTTCTTACTTTTTAAAACCATCCAAATCTTGCATAATTTAAATGATCAGGGCTGTCACTGGTCGCTCTGGTTTAAATTATGCATTGTTGCTATTTGGGGAAAATTTAGACTGGGTCCAGTCTGGGATCACTGGCTGAGAACAATAAGCCCCCAGAGTGAGAAGGATAAAGGCCCCTCCAGACAGGATCTGCTTTTAATGCATTGAGAGCAGAGTTTACAAAAAGAGCATTGATTGTGTATATTAAAGAGCCACCAAAACAGCAAGGGACTGGTAGTACTGCAGCAAATTCTCCTAGATGCCACTGACCTTGGCTGCATTTCAGGGGTCAGGCATTCCCCAGGAGGTTCTCAGCAGGCAGGCTTTCCTGAAGGTTTAGGAACAAATGAGACCTCTCATCTACAAGAGCCCATCTCTACTAATCTGGGAAAACCAGAGAGAGATTGATCTGCCCTCTGATTTGTGGAGATTACCTCTGTGGCCTTTGGACTCAACTGCCAGCCTGCACACCTCACCCACCACAAGACTGGTCGCAGCCCCAGCCCTCTGGGATGCAATTGTCCCCACATCTGCATTTAAATCATCCAGCCAGCAGTTCCCCATCTCTAGGGCTGGCTGGAAGCTGTAGCCCTCTCTCTTTCCACACCTCCTGCAGGCAGAAATACAGAAGCAAAGCACCAAGCCCAGGCCACAAAGAGCAATTTCAGTGAATTGTGCAAAGACATCTTTTCAAAATACTGATCTCAGGAGCACAGGTCTCCCATGTGTGAATCGCACGCCAGGTCGGCTGGTAAGCCCTTGTGGTTGCTCACAAGTCTGCAAGCTCTGGGCTCAGTATCTCAGAAATCTTCCCTGGAAAAAGCCCAGAAGGGACACCTCTGACCAAGCCCAACTTAAAATCACATCACAGCGCTTTCCATTAGAGAAGGGATGTTGAGATTCCGGCTCAAGAAAATCACAAGTCTTGCCCCATTGTTCAGATACCCTTCCCCCTACCCCACTCCCCTGCTTTGCCACTTTCCCCGATCCTGAAGTCTGGGCCATCCATCCACCTGATTAACCCGCTGGCAGCAACTCCCAGCACAGAAAGTAGGGCAAATGAACACATACAGTCTGTAAAGCAGGAAGCCACAGACTTGGCCAAAGCACCCCGTTACCAATCCCCACCCCCAACTGCCCAGGAGGCACTGGATTCTGAATGTGGCATTTCGGTGCCAGGGAAATAGACAGCTTACTGTAATAACGTATGAATGAGCTTTTGCTACCCAACTATCAAAGAAGCCAATTTAAATGGCATCTCTGTTCCTTCTCAGCCTCTTGACCGCCTCGCAGAAACCTCACCTCTGAGATGGAAGGATTAAGAAGGAGAGGGGGAGTTTAAAAGGGAGGGAGTAGGTGGGGAGAGGATGAAAAAGTACCACTTTGACCATAAAGGTAATTCTTTAAAATAACCGTAAAGAAGGAGGCAACGTCAAGAGAAGCACTGAATATTCAAGTATATAACCCCAAGATTTAGCATCAGTCTAACAATGTATTCCTCAGGAGGGCGTGTGAACTTCCAAGCTTCACCCATCCTGCGTGCCTCTGTGTTGAGAGCCACCATCAATTCGGTCTCACTGACCCTCCTTGCCTCAAGTATATACAAGTCGCTTTTTAAAATTATTTTATTTTTGGTTCAGGAGAGGAAGAAGCCGTGCTTAAATTGATGGCCGATCGTTCCCAGACCCCCGCTGCTGCAGCCACCCCCACCCTTCACCCCCTTCCTGGCAGGCAGCATCTAATTAATATGGCAAGAAAGCTCTGCCCCTTTCCCTGAAGGAGTGTGTTAGGATTTGGGGGTTGGGGGTGGGGAGGCGTCGAGTCTGCACTAGGATTCCTGGTATTCCGATTTCAAAACAACAGCAAAATGGATTCTGTAACAGTGATGTCTTAGTCAATGCAATGAATCGGCGTCTGAGGCAATTCAAGTGAGGGTAAATGCAAACCAAGGGGGCTGGGGGAGGTAGGTGCTTTACAAAGGACTAGCCCTAGAGACAGAGAAAACACACGCGCGCGCGCGCACACACACACACACAAACACACACACACTCCCGGGAGTTCCGGTCTGATTGGGGAAAAGCAGGGAACACATCCCTTTCACCTGCTTAAGTTCAGCCATAAAACTGAAATGTCACAGCCACAAAGTCAGAAAGCACAGACAAGGCTGAGTTAAAACCATAAATAAAGGTGAGTGGCAGACCGGCATTTACGAGAGAGCTGAGATAGAGTCCGGGCGCGGACGGCAGAAAAGGGGGAAGGGGAGGCAGCTGCCATAAAAAGACCAGCATAGCCATAGCTGCCCCCTCGGAGCGGCAGGTTCGGCTTCGTGGGGACAGTCAGGCTCACAATGCCATCTTGCAGGTAGCTGAAAAACGTGAGAAGCCAGTGCCTTTATTCACCCTGTTGTTATTCTAGCAGAAAGGGACGGTGGGGTTTCGAGCCTTGGCACGAGTAGACTGCCCGGGGTTTGTGTACACGTACACACACACACACACACAAACACACGGGCTTTTCATTTTAATGCTCTTACACTGGTCTAAGAAGAAACCGGCATAAGCTCCACGCGCTCTCGGGGGAGCCTTGGTCACCACCAAAGGAGGACACGTACCGCACAGCCCTTGCCTCGGGGGTTAGCCAAGAGCACCTCAGCAGCCCCTGAATCAAAATGAGAATCCAGGTTCCCTCTCGTTGCATTCGCCCGCCTCTGTCCATCAGCCCCAGCCCCAGTCCACGCACCAAGCCCATTCACCCTGACCCAAAACACTGGAAAGAAATCAGAAAACGTGTTCTGCTCACCCTCAGAGCCGAGAGATCGATTTCATCCAGGCTGCGAGCCGGGGAGTCGCTCGCCATGTCGCCTTCTTCGCGGGAGAAATGGACCAAAACCACCCCGAAGCTTCTCCCTTGGAAATTCCACCTTGGTCTATTTCACTCGCGTCCTCATGCGGGTGTCGCGCCAGAGGCCCGGGGCCCAGCCTCCCCCGCCCACTCCGACCCCACAGCGTCTGATCGCGAGCCTCCGCTTGCCGGTCCGCCAGGTCCGGGAGCCCAACCTGCGCGGATTTCCAAGCCCAGAGCCGCGATGCGTGTGGGCTGCGCGCCCTGATCGGCTAAGGGCGCTGGGGCTGCGTGGGTGTATTTAAATGGGACATGCTTCTTTGCTTGTGCGTGGATGGCGGCTGCATTGGCTGTTATAATGAGACACATCAACTCCTCCACTCAGCTGGGGGGGTGGGGGTGGAGAACCACACAGAACTGTCTATCACCGCTTCCTGGGAGGAGTAAAGGGGTTGAGGGGGGGATGGGGGAAGGCGGAGGAGGCGTGGTCTCCGACTTGGGAGAGGCCGCGCTTCCTGACCCGGTCCCTCTGCACCAACGTGGATGGGGGAGGGGCGCGCACTCCTTCAGCCCAGGCTTTTGCGGGTTAATCGGGCTGGATCTGAAGAGCTGTTCCCGAACCGTGCTATGCTTATCGTAGGGACTAGGGGGCTTTATTTTTGTGTGTCCAATTCGTATGCTGCAGCAAAATGGCCCTTCAGTCGCATTTTGAGGGGTTCTCGGCAGAGTTCAAATGCTCTAGCGTTGAAAAAAAATCCTGAAGGGGAAAAAAAAAGAGTGACGCCCTCCTCCCCCATTAATTATTTGTGGGGCTGGAGTAACGCGGGCTGGTGCAACCGGTGCATATAAGGACTTGTGTGCAAGGAAGGGGATCCGCCTCCAGCCGCGGAACGAATGGGGGAGACGCGCACTCGCGCGGGGCACGCAGCCCCGCGTTTCAGCAAATTGCAACTGCAGCCCCCGGGATCCAGGATGGCAGTTCTCTAGGGCCAGTCACTCGCCGCCTCGGGGCTGGGAAGATCTGCCAGAAGCGGGAAAGCTGGGAGAGCTGAGCTCCCTCTGGCCTCGCCACACCCAGGACCTGTCCGTGCCGCAATTCCCCCACGGAAACGACCGAATTGAAACGAGAATTGTTCTCCGGGTGCAGTGGCTTGACTGCTTCAGGTAACTCCAAAGGCAACGCTGGGTGAGGCAGCGCACGCCGCCTCAGGACCCTGCGTTTCCCTTTCAGGCAGCGTTTCGGCGGCTGACCCACCCAGATTAATACAGAAAGTTTGGCTGACGGATAAGATGTAACACAGAAGATGTACGGAGTGAGAGCGATTGCACTCCACCCGCTTTCTCATGTAAAGGCTGAACGATTACCGTGGTAAACATGACAATCTGTAATCAGGAGTGTGAAGTCCCTTCCCCCAACCCCCTCTCACAGCCCTTCCTCCGGCCTTGGCCAGGCGAAATACATGGGATGAAACGCTAAAATTAAACTTTTCTCCAAATACAGCAGTAGCTTTATCTGCACCTCTGTTAAGAAGGGAATTTTCTTCTGGCCAAGTGCCCTGAGGTTTTATTTAATCGTGTAGAGCGAATATCAGCTTCAGAATAAGGCTTTTGAATGAATGAATGAAAACTAATGCAGTTAGTTCATCAGGATTGCAGACCTTAGAAGACTTTCAAACGGCATTCGGTTAGCATTGTGCTGTTTTTGTTAATAATACTGCATTTATTTATTTGCATTGTGCATCATGAAACTTGTTCCACATCTGTGTAGCCACAACAGTTTAGGAGCTTTGGCCATTAAAACGTGAAACGTTTAAATGTGTCATATTCAAAACATTCGATTTGATTTTTCATTTTCTAATGAAATCATCCAGCTCGAGGTAGTGAGTTATCTGCCGTAAGCCACCAAGTACTGTCGAAATGATGTAAAAATCAACCACTTCCCACCATCGTCCTTATTTTTCCCTTCTGTGCCTTTTACCCTTAATCTAGATGACAAGTTCGTGTATTGTCTCAGTGTTGAAAGAAAATAATTAAGATCAGGTATTGACATCTATGAACAGAACTATTTTTAAAACTCCGAACATACGAAAAATGAGGTAAACATTTTTTCAAGGGGAACCTTCATTTTATACCCCAAATTTTATTTGAAACATCACAAATGGGTCATTTCTTTCAGCGTTAGTCAGCTGTTCAGGCCATGAGCATGTCATGATACTGGCACTAAATTCTACGTTCGGTTTAGAATCAGATTAGAAACCTATATATTCAGTACAGTGGGGAATATACTAACTGGGGAAGGGCTGTCTAGGAGCCTGAGAGGATGATGAGAGTCAGGTGGAGGCAGGGATGCTGAATGCAGGAAATACCATAAAAGGAGAGATTACAATAGCCAAGGAACCTCCAGCTGGAAAGGGAAGGAGGAAACTCCAGGCAGTCTGTGCTAGAGGTGAAGTAATTGTGATGCCTGGGCTGAGGAGGAAAGCAGAGGTCAGATCAGGTAGAGTTTTTACATGCCCCCTTAAGGAATTTGAACTTTATTTTTTAGACCGAATGTGTATCAAATTTCAGCCATTTCAATACAAATTCCTAATTTTGCCATACCAGTATACCTCCTGGGCAGTTGTTGTTTACTTAACATTTTTCTTTAAATCAGCACTTTTCTCTTTTTCTTATGTTTCACTTAAGAGGAAACATAAATCACTACTGTGGACAGAAAGCTAGCAACATCTGCTAAAAAATAGAAGAGAACCATTAAAATAAATACAATGAAAAATAAAACAATATTATTTCATTCCAGCTAACTATCTACCCTGAGGCCTGCTCTTACTTTGTTAAACCAGAGATTAGCAAATGCCAGAAAAGATATTCAAAACTTGACCAAAGTGAAATTTTCTTCTTGATGTAATCTGAAGGATTGAAAGAATCGTTATCATTTATGTGCAGTTTGGAAGCCTGAAAAACAATATGATATGATGTTTATGTCTGTCTCAATATGTAGATAACCATAAAAAGCATGGACACAGACAGGAAGAATACAGGTCAACTTCAGGATAGTGAGGAGAGAATAAAAGAAAGCAAAAAGGAGGCTTCAACAATGATATCTAATTTCTTTCTTTAAAAAAGTGCTTAAGCAAATATTGTTAAGTGTTTGGAATTGTTAAATCTAGATGGGAAATAGGGTAGCACCCCAAGGGGCTGCCCTCTAATTGCCAAGAGAAATGGGGCCACACACACATGCAGAAGGTTAACTACCTGCATCCCCTGCCCTGCAGCATATCCTGTCCTGCCCTCCTTCCCACTACAGTCAGCAAAACAACCACTCAGAATTAGATAGCACAGATAGGCAAGTGAGATTTCCAGACACTGAGATGAGCAGACAAATCACCAATCATTCATGGACGTCTATTACTTGAAGGAGAGGCACTAATTTCAATCAATAAATGAATCAAAAGCTCGAAGCTATTTTTAATAGAGCAAAAAGAAGTTTTATAATATATTTTTACCCTCAGAGAGATATAATACAGGACCTTACATTCATAAAACAATTAGATTATTATGAAAACGAACCAGTTAGAGGACAAATTAAGAATGTTTATTGAAAATGTTTTAGTGAGTTGAACAATAATAACTAATACTATGCTGCAGATACTCTTAAAGCATTCACATATTAACATATTTAATCTTTATAATCTTACAAAATACTCAATATTGTTAACATTCATTTTACAGATGAGTAAACTGAAAAATAGAAAGGTTAATTAACTTACTCAAGAAAACACAGTAATAAATGGCTGAACCAAAATTTGAATTCAGGCTCTTAATCACCATGCTATAGTGACTCAGGCCAAACTGAATTAGTAAACTAGAAGTTTGGGCCCAGCTTTCTCCCAGATTACAGGAGAAAGGAGAAAGCAATGAGCCAACATGTAAGTAATACGGAGAATAAATCCAGAAGTTTCAACATTTGTCTAATAGGAGGCTAGAGAATGAATAAAAGGAAATACTCAAAGAAATGATAGAAAAGTTCCAATATCTTTATGTTAAAAGCTCTCATTTAGTGTATAAGTAAAAATTAACACATCCTGAAGCAATTTCAGAGCATCAAGGATACAAAGGTTATTCTAACCAGGCCACCTACATCAGCAACAATTGATGCTAGTAGATAATGGAACAAAATATTCTATGGGAATTGTTTTTACCTTAGAATTCTCTACCTAACTAAATTATCATTTAAGAGAGAATACAAAATAATGACATTTTCAGATAAAGAAGGATTAAATGATTGATCATCTGGTAAAAAATTACTGGAAAGTATATTCCATCAAAGAGAAAATGGAATCAAAAAGAAAACTGCAATACAAAAGACAATGGTAAGCAAAGGTAGCAAACTCTTACCCACTTAAAGTCATTCTCTTTCTTCCTTGCTGACAAAATTCTGATTTGGAGAATTTATCTTCCATGTATTTCAAGAATATGGGCTCACCTCAGCCCCAGAGAAATAATGAATGCTAGCTGGTCGAAACTCATCACAGGAATTCTGTCCTCTTTCCTAATGATTGATTTAGTCATAGGCATATCATGCAACACTAACTGAAGAAAAGCCTGGTGGGAGTTGTAAGAATGGTTTTCCTCTTCAAAAACTAAAACAAGAAGGGAAGAGAAGAGAAGCAAAGGGAAGGGAATGGGAGGGAAGGGAATGGAAGAAAAGGAAAGAGAAGAGAAGAGAAGATGGCCAGAAGAAGCTTCCTGCCTGTGGTAGCCATCCTCCAAGATGGCTGCCAGTGAGCCTCACCTGGTATTTACACCCTTGTCTCGTTCCCTCCAACATAGAATACAAAGGACTTCCAAAATTGGATAATAAAAGGCATTTCAGCTTTTACCTTGTTTTCTGCGTTCACTTACTCTCAGGCAGGGTTTCTCAGCCTCAGCACTATTGACATTTTGGGCCTGAGAACTCATGCTGTAGGGGGCTGTCCTGTGTACTGCTGGATCTTTAGAAGCATCCCTGGTCCCTATCCACCAGATGCCAATAACACCTTCCCATTTGGGACAACTGAAAATGTCTCTAGACCTTGCCAAATATCCCCTAGAAAGAAAGAAACCTGGTTGAGAACCATTGCTCTAGGGGAAACCAGCCACTGTGTCCTGCAGACATTCATGCATCTTGCCAGCCATGTGAGTAGGCTGCCTTGAAGTTGATCCTCCACTCCAGTCAAGCCTTCAGATGACTTCAAGCCCTGCTGGCTCTAACTGCTACCTCATGTACTGTCCTAAGCTAGATCCACTGAACCAAGCCACTCCCAAGTCCCTGGCCCACAGAAACCATGATAAATAATAAATGTCATTGGTGGTATAAGCCACTTGATTTGTTGTGCAGCAGTGGATAACTACTACATTGTCTTCAGACAGGGCTGTCTGTGGTTGTAACAGATGGACCTATAGCAGCCACCTTCCTACCAGGTTTGGATGAGCTTGAGAAAGAAAGCAGAAGATAAAAAGCAATTGGATCCTTAATCACATCATTGAGCCACTAAATTAATCCAGGAATAAGCTATATCTTCTTTATGTGTGACATAAGTTTTTCTCTCTTTGTATAAGCTACTTTTAGTTGTGTACTCTGTTGTTTGTAGCCAAACACTTTCTATTACAGAAAATAAACATTGAAACTTTTAATTAAGTCGTCATTATTGCTTATTCACTGAAGAAAAAGAATGAAGCTGGAGGAATAACCCTCCCAGACTTCAGACAATACTACAGAGCTACAATAATCAAACCAGCATGGTATTGGCAGAAAAACAGACATATGGATCAATGGAACAGAATAGAAAGCCCAGAATAAACCCACACACCTATGATCAATTAGTCCTCAACAAAGGAGCCAAGAATATATAATGGAGAAAAGAAAGTCTCTTTGACAAGTGGTTTTGAGAAAGCTGGACAGCCACATGTAAATCAATGAAATTAGAACACTCCCTCACACCATACACAAAGATAAACTCAAAATAGCTTAAAGACTTAAACATAAGATCAGACACTATAAATCTCCTAGAAGAAAATATAGGCAAAATATTCTCCAACATAAATCTTAGCAATGTTCTCCTAGGGCAGTCTACCAAGGCAATAGAAATAAAGGCAAAAATAAGCAAATGGGACCTGATTAAACTTAGCTTTCGCACAGCAAAGGAAACTATAAACAAAATGAAATGACAACCTATGGAATGGGAGAAAATATTTACAAATGATGCAGTTAACAACAGCTTAATTTTCAGAATATACACAACAGCTCATACAACTCAGTAACAAAAAAATAAACAACCTAGTCAAAAAAAAAAGTGGGGGGGGGAGACCTAAATAAACATTCCTCCAGTGAAGACATACAGATTACCAATAGACACATGAAAAAAATGCTCAACTAATACAGAAATGCAAATCAAAGCTACAATGAGGTATCACTTCACACCAGTCAGAATGACCATCATTCAAAAGTCCACAAACAATAAATGCTGGAGAGGGTGTGGAGAAAAGGGAATTGTTAGTGGGAATATAGTTTGGTGCAGCCACTATGGAAAACAGTATGGAGAGTACTTAAAAAAATAAAAATAAACTTACCCTATGATCCAGCAATCCCACTCCTGGGCATATATCCAGAGGAAACTCTAATTCAGAAAAATACATGCACCCCAATGTTCATAGCAGCACTACTTACAATAGGCAAGACATGGAAGCAACCTAAATGTCCATTGACCTATGAATGGATAAAGAAGTTGTGGTTAAAAAAAAAATTAAGTCATGGTGTATATATATATATATATATATATATATATATATATATATATACATATATATATGATGGAATACTACTAAACCATAAAAAAGAATAAAATAATGCCATTTGCAGCAACATGGATGGGCCTGGAGATATTCATACTAAGTGAAGTAAGCCAGAAAAAGAAAGAAAAATACCATGTAATACCACTCATATGTGGAATCTGAAAAACAAACAAACAAACAAACAAACAGATACAAGTGAACCTATTTACAAAACAGAAACAGACTCATAGATATAGAAAATAAATATGTGGTTACCAGGGGAGCAAGGACAAGAGGGAGGGGTGGAGGAATAAAATGGGAGCTGGGGATTTGCAGATACTAACTACTATATATAAAATAGATAAAACAGAGATGGTCCCACTGTGTAACGCAGTGAACTATAGTCAACACCTGGTAATGACCAATAATGAAAAAGAATATGAAAAGGAACATATATATATGTATAATTGAATCACTATGCTGTACATCAGAAATAAAAAATTGTTTAAAGTCTTTATTATCACCGATTCACAAAGTAAAAAGAAATAATGATAATCTAAAACTAACAATCTTATGAGCATAAAGGGAAAGGAGACAGAAAAGCATGTTAAGATTTTGTCTGATTTGGAGATATATAGAGATACTTTCTCTAATCACAGAAAAATGTAAGTTAATTATTCATGATAACAATGAGGTATCATCTCACACCAGTCAGAACGATCATTATTCAAAAGTCCACAAATGATAAATGCTGGAGAGGATGTGGAGAAAAGGGAACCCTTCTACACTGTAGGTGGGAATATAGTTTGGTGCAGCCATTATGGAAAACAGTATGGAGATTCCTTAAAAAACTAAAAATATACTTACCATATGATCCAGCAATCCCACTCCTGGGCATATATCTGGAGGGAACTCTAATTCAAAAAGATACATGCACCCCAATGTTCATAGCAGCACTATATACAGTAACCAAGACATGGAAGCAACCTAAAAGTCCCCCAACAGATGACTGGATAAAGAAGTTATGGTATATTTATACAATGGAATACTATTCAGCCATAAAAAAGAAATAATGCCATTTGCAGCAACATGGATCGGCCTGGAGATATTCATACTAAATGAAGTAAGCCAGAAAAAGAAAAAGAAAGAAATATACCACATGATATCACTCATATGTGGAATCTAAAGAAAAACAAGAAGACACTAATGTACTCATCTACAAAACAGAAACAGAGTCACAGACATAGTAAACAATTTATGGTTACCAGGGAAAAGGGGGTGGGAAGGGATAGATTTGGGAGCTTGAGATTTGTAGTTATATATAAAAATAGATTAAAAAAACAAATTCTTCTGTATAGCACAAGGAACTATATTCAATATCTCATAACAACATTTAGTGAAAAAGAACATGAAAATGAATATATGCTTGTATTTGTATGACTGGGACATTATGATATACACCAGAAATTGACACATTGTAACTTCAGTTGAACAAAAATTATGCATGATATAAGAGTCACCATATAGGCAAATATAAATTAGATATTACAAACTACTTGAGTAGAAAAAATGGAACAAGAATAACATGATGAAGTCAATAAAATGAAGAAAAAATAAACCAGAACATGTAGCGTAAAGGACATGTTTCTAGAATGGTGGGGCCCACTCAGCATCCCTTCTGTTTTTGCATACTGTGGTAGGTAGACTAATGCCCTCCGCCTGCCAAAGATGTTCATGTTCCAGTCTGCAGAACCTTACCTGGCAAGAGGGTCTTTGCATGTGTGATTAAATTAAGGAATATGGGAAGTGGAGATTTTCTTGGATTAAGCAGAGTGGGCCCAATGTAATCACAAAGATCTTTAAAATGAAAGAGGGAGGCAGAAGAGAAAATGAGAGAAAGATGAAATGGAAGAAAGGCACAGAGAAATGCAACACTGCTGTCTTTGACAGTGAAGGAAGTGGGCCATAAGCCATAGAATACGGGCTACCTCTAGAAGCTAGAAAGGCAAGGAAATGGATTCTTGCCTAGAGCTTTCAGAAAGCAAATCAGCCCTGCAGACACCTTCATTTTAGCTCAGTAAGACCCCTTTTGACTTCAGACCTCCAGACTGTAAGATAATAAATTTGTGTTGTCACTACATTTGAGGTAATTTGTCACAGCACTGATTTAAAAAAAAAAAAAAGCTAATAAGACTTCCTGTATCCATATTTCCTTTTGAATAATGGTCTTTTTCCCCTTGGTTACAGATCTCTGGAGAGCTGTTCCTTGAGTTTTCTGCCCACTGTTATCCAAAGGGTGAGTAGGTGTCTGAAATCAGAATAGAAGTCCCTTTCACAGAATCCTGAAACTTAAGAAGAATGGCAACAGACTGAAAGTGGTTAATGATCATTTGTGCCAATTGTGGTACCTTAGCTACAGGGATTTACTAGAGTCTTTTCATCCTTCCTATTTCTCAGAAGTTGCCTTTTTTCTATCTATTCCATGCATAGTCTCTGTGCTGTTTTTTACTGCTATGTGACAAACCACTTCAAAACTCAGTGAATAAAACAACAAGCATTTCTTTAGCTCACAAATCTGTAATCTGGGCAGAGTTTGGTGGGGAAGTTTTGCTCTACAGAGCATCAGCTAGAACTGGAGAGCCCATTTCCAAAACGCCTCACTCACGCATCTAGCAAATTTGGCCCTGGGCTCTGTGGTGAGTGCTCAGCCATGGCTGATGGCTGGAAGCTCTGGTTTCTCTCCAGGTTGGTCTCTCCATGGGCTGTTGGGGCTTTTTTATGGCATGGTAGCTGAGTTCCAAGAACAAGTGTCCCATGAGAACGAGACAGAAGCTGTATCACTTTTTATGGCCTCATCTCAGAAGTCATTTGACTTCAGCAACACCATTGTCACAAATCTACCCAGATTCAAGAGGAAGACATTTACATCACACCTTTTAACAGGAGGAGTAGCTCAGTCACGTTATAGAAGAGCATATGGTGCAAAAGAAATTGTTGCAGTATTTTGGGGAACTAAACTCTAGCACATCCTTCCAGCCATACTCTGACCTCAGTATCTTTGCCTTTTGTTCATGTTAACCAGAGTTGGTTTCTGCTGTTGCTTGCAGCCAAATAATATATCAGGCATAAGCACAAACGTGTTAGAATAAGTATAAATATTTAAATTCTTTTATTAGAATCAGAGTGTATAAAAGCAAAGCAAAACAACCCCAATAAACTAAAAGTACACAAATCTGCCATAGAAAATTGATCAAATTTGACCAGGCTACAAGGCACAAGTTTTGATAATTTCCAAAAGGCAGCAATCATGGATACCACATTCTCAGACCCCGTGACTAAGAGATTTCAATATACATGTCACAGATTTATCTAAATAGATTCACACTTCTTGGCCCCTCTTCACTAAAATCACTTTTGTCCCTTCCTGCACTTAAACTTGCTCCTAGAGACACAATCAGAAATTTACTATCATCTTAAACAGCTCTGCCTTAGAGAACAAAACTTCAATTTTCCATTTTCCAGTCACACACCCTATCCTTCTAGCTTCCAGGTAGCCTTTGCTAATATTACCACTGTTTTCAGCCTCAGAGAGACTCCACTTCTGCCAATGGTGGCATTCTTTCTTCTTTTCCATTGGTTTTTTTCTCTTCCTTCCCTTTTTATGATGGACCTCAAAGTGTTTAGGAGCCTGAAATTCAATATATTGTATTCCATATAGTATGATCTGAGGTGAAGAACATGGCCTCTGGAGTTGAACTGCCTGATATCAAATCCCAAAATAGAAAAAGAAAAACAACACAGTTGCTTTATAGTTCTCATTTCTTTTTTAGATAGGTAGGTAGATAGATAAATTTTTTTTAACCTAGTTACCCTGGAACAATAATGCCAAATGACAACATCTCATTTGTATTAAATAGGTTCAGAGCAATATTCCTAATTATCTAGCACCTTTTAATTCAAAAGATAAACACAACATGTTATCTAAAAATACCAGTATTAAACTTTCCCCAAATATGGAAAACTATTTTTACTAAAAATTTGGCAAGCCCTTTCAAAACAGCATTTTCTGTTTTCATTCTTTGAGAAATTTCTAACAACAAACATGCATAGAAATTTTAACATGCAGCTCTAAGCCTTCAATATTTACTGTAAAAGTTTGTTTATAATTTTTTGAAAGTTGCTTGAACTTAAATCCTAAAGCAGTTTTAAGTTTAATTATATTCGAGCCAAATAATGGAGTTTTCAGCTTGTTTTTCCTCAATATTTTTAGGACCTAACCTAGTGTCTTGCAACAGTTAGCATTCCATACATGTCTGGTCAATGACCAAACAAACTGTAATAGAAATGATAAAAGGACATCTATTCTGACAACCAGGGCCTGTCTGGACCATGTCAAAAGCCTGTGGTGCTTTGCTTCCTGCTGGCTATCTCAATTAGTTTCCACTTTTTTTTCTGCAGAACTTTGCTACACAACTATATCCTGTTTAATTTTAGATTCTAAGCCTCCCCTACCCCACCATACACAAAATAATTTTCAGTTTTTTAGTTCCTGTCCATATATTTGAATGGCACACCCCACTGGTTAGCCTGGAGCTGGGAGAGTGTAGTAGTCCAGCTAGATGAAGTCATAAGGTACATAACATAAATGTCTTTATCAGACTTTTAGAGCTGGAAGGAAACTTTGAGATAACTGAGACCAACCCTCTCATTTTACAGATAAGGAAACCAAGGTCCAGAGACACTATTTGACTTGCTCAATGTCACAGAGTTAGCACAGGAAAAGGCTTTGGAAACTAAAGGATCTGTGCTTTAGAAAAAAAAAAGCGAGGCTGTATTTACTGTTATTGTTTCCCCAAGATTCCCGATTCATTGTTCCTTCTACCATACCATGCTGCACACCAGATACCATCCACTTGTGTCGTGCTTTTTATCTAAAGGAAACTGTAAAGTATACAATTGATCTATTTCCCTTAATGAGTGGGCTGCCTGAGATTTCCAAGCTAAATGAGTGGGTTTGCCATGCCTGGTATTGCCTCTAGTGGGGGAAGAAGTGCCAAAAATAGAGCCAAGAAGCTTGTCTGAGTGGGTTCTTTAAGCCAGAGAACCTAGGTGACAAAACAAGGAATGGGGAGTTGTATTGGTCACTTGGCCAAAGAAGGCAGAGGCCAAACCTCTCCAGAGATTTAACACAATCTCTTCATGCAATTACATGGATGACTTGTGAGATGGACACTGGAATATATGTGAGCTCTCTTATAGCACTTAAGATACTATACTGTAGTTTTGTTGGTTTTCTTTTCCACCATGGAGCTACTGAGCATAAGGAATTTTTCTTATTCAGCTCTCTTTCTCTAGTAACTAGCATAATGCCTGCAATAAAGTGGTGCTTATAAAATTTATCATTAAATCAGTTAAAGAAATAGTCTATAGAGGTGGACAGAACTGGCCGCTTTGAAGCCAGAAAACGTTGGACAAGTCTTTTGAGATTTCAGGGTGTCAGCATTTTTTATTTGTTAGATTTTGCATAACTAGTTGATTCTGAGAACAAGCTAAGAGTCCTATGGCTATGATTATGTCAAAGGCTGATAATAAAAATCAGTTGTGGATCCACGTTTCTTATCTATTCACAAGAACATAAATTCATTCATTCATCAATATATCCATTCATCAAAAACATGCGTTGAATACAGGAATCATCAAAATGGTCTCTGCTTTTATAATTTAGGCAGTGTTTCTAAAAGTGTGGTTCATGTGCATGTGTATCAAAAAAAGGGGTAGGACTTACATGTAGACTCCCAGAATACTGAGGGATCAGGGCTCAGGAATCTTCACTTTTAAACAAGCACTTTCCCAGATGATTTTTCCCCATTCTCAAATATTTATTGAGCATCTTGGATAGGCAAGGCTTTTACTTAGACCAAAGTAATAATGAGAGTTGATTATAGCTCTGTAAGTATGTTAGTCTATTTGGGTTCCTGTAACAAAATACCATAGATTAGGTGGCTTATAACAACAGAAATTTATTTCTCATAGTTTTAGAGGCTGGGAAGTCAAAGATCCAGGTACTGGCAGATTCAGGGTCTGGCAAGAGCCTGCTTCCTCACAGAGAGCCATCTTCTCATTTGTGTCCTCAAATGGCAGAAAGGGCAGTCTAGGTCTAGGGGGTCTCTTATTAAGAGCACTAATCTCAATCATGAGGGCTCTGCCCTTTGACATAATCACCTCCCAAAGACCTAATCACCTTGGAGATTAGGATTTCAACATAAGAATTTTTATGGGGTGGGGAGGGACATACATTCAGTCCACATCAACATGAGACAAAAATCCAATCTCATTAGTGAACATAATGAAACTTAGGTTAAATGCACAGATGTCAGAAAAACTGAGAAGGGTAGAAAGAATTCAGGATAGAGTCCAGTTTATGAAGAAAAAAAATAGTATCCTAAAGATGGTTGGACAGAGGTTCCAGACATTTATAGATGTTATTGTTAGTCTCTCAGTGAAAAGGGCCCAGAAAAGTTGCTTAGAATTCTTCGTCTTCCAGCATATACATCACCAGCTTTTACAATCAGCAGCATATTACCATAGTTATTTGTTTCTCTCTCTCCTCCCATGCTTTTTCTTTGCTAAAATTATATTTTTTTAATCTTTGACATCATGTCATTTTCCTCTAAATATTTCAATAAATATCTCAAAAAGGGGAAGGGATTTGAGTGTGGGCTGTGCTTAGTGATGTGCTTGCAAAACATAAAGTATGAAAGGGGGCAAAAGTAAATTTACAGTAGAGAAGTTTAGCAAACAGCAAACACTACCTTGGCCAAGTAATCAAGATTAACAGGATCAGTGACAAATCATATTGATAGAATGCACCCCTGACAAGATATAATGAGAAATGCACTAGTAAACTTTTAATAAAGTGTGTTATTTAGTTAATAGTAATGTGATAATACTGGTTCTTTAGTTGTGACAAAGATACTAGAGTAATATAAGATGTTCACAGTAGGGGAAACTTGGTATGAGATATATAGGAACTATGTACTATGTTTATAACTTTTTGGTAAATCTAAAACTATTCTAAATTTTAAAGTTTATTATAAAAATGGGAGGAATATAATGAACTGAATAACCTAGAAGAAATGGCTAAACTTCTAGAAACATACAAAATTAAATCACGAAGAAGAAAATCTGAAAAGACCAATATGAGTAAGGCGAGTGGATCCATAATCAAAAATCTCCCAACAAAGAAAATCTTGGGACCAAATGGTTTCACTGGTGAATTCTACCAAAATTTAAGGA